TATATTAATACTAGTAGCAAAAGTAACTAGAGGCTAGACTGCCCCATGCCACCTTTAAAGGAAGCAGTCTATGCTAAGGAATCACTGACGTGTCCTTTCCTAGCTCAGTCTCTGTTCACCCATAACACCTCCCCATAGTACAGGAGTTAATGTACCCGATCTTCCTTTCATGCAGAACATTTGTGACTGGGAAATGTTCTGCCTGAAGAGAATGAGCACAAGACAGAGCAAGGTTAGCTGCCCGGTGAATGACATCCCGATCAATCAAAAGCGTGTCCGTCTGTACTCGTCATCAGACAGAAAGGAAGATAAAGAGACGCACCTTTAATACAGCCAAGTCAAAACACACAGATGTTCACAGAAAGTGCACGTACCCCAATGATGCTGAGACCTTTGAGGTAGTCCATCCTCGGCTGGGCCTGGGGAACACATCCTGCTACTACCACCTTTTTCTGCTGTTCCTGGGCTTTTCTGTGCAAAAGCAAAAAGAGAAATAAGCATAGAATAACAGGTTAACTGTAATATATGACAAACACTACTGTTTTTCTGTTCCACTTTCTGATTTAACCCAGGAAAAACACTGAGATCAACAATATACAGTTAATATATCCTCTGGATCCTTTTGAAGATGAACATCTTATTTTAGAACCTCAACGGTTAAAATTAAAATGAGTCCTTCATGTCATACGTGCTAAAGTCTTCCCCTCCGACCATCTGTGTGCATGTAATTTTTCATCTCCACTAGAAAATTTCTTAGGCTGACATATTCTAATGCAATTTTCAGTGAGAGTAAATACTTTCCGATAGCTTGGGAAATGGATGAATCCAAGCTTATGCTTCATTTGGCAGAATGCATCTGGCCCCCGACCCATTAAAACAGATTTCCACAAGCCTTTGCCAAGCCAATCACCACTGTTTATTTAAAATGAGGCGTGTTTGATATAATGACCACACTGTAGGCTTTTTACATTGTAACCTCAGCCCTACATGGCACATTTCTTTGCTCTGACTGATTGAAGGTCCAGAGGCATTTTGATCTGTAGCTGATGAAAACAGCTTTTGAAATCATTGCTGGAGTGAGATGTTCCCAGCTAATTGCATTTATCTTTGCACGTAAGGCTACTGTGCTCCTAAGTCATTAATGGATAACGGCTTGACAACAGTGCAAACAAGCAAAATCAACCGCATGCAGTGATAAAACCTGTCTGCATGCTCTAGCATATGAAACAAACCTCCAAATTCTTCTGATACCCAAATCTTAAAGTCAAACTTTATAAATAAGTTAGAGAAAAAAATCTATTTAAAGTGTGGATTTACTTAAAAGTAAATTTTGCACATCTGTGAAATGAATCTAGGTGAAACTCAAAAATTAATTAGAAAAAAACTAATGTTGTGAGTTTATTGTACTCAGAATTTGCCCTGTCATGCAAATTCACTCTGCTACAAATTATTAGGTAAGAAAATTCTCAGTATATGAAGCTGAGAACATCATTATTTCAGTCGCTAAATGGCTGAGCCCAAAAGCGTACAGGTCTAATCTTTGATTGGCCACTGGAGCACCTTTATTCTTTCCATGTTCACACATTTTGCTGTAGATTTGCTGCTGTGCTTGGAATCATTGTCCTGACGTAAGACTGAATTTCAGCCAAGCCAAACAGAAGAGTTCACAGTCGACGCCATGACTGCAAAGTGTCCTGGCCCTGTGGCTGCAAAACAAGCCCAAATCCTTATCCCTCCATGACCGTGCTGAACAGCTAGCATGAGGTTGGCTGATACGATGTGCTTGTTTTTTTACAAACATGGACAAATATCTCCACTGTCATATGTCTAAAGTACATTGTTCCAGAAATCTTGTGGTTTCTTCAAATGAAACTGCATAAACCTTAGCCATGCTGCCGTGTTCTTTTTAGAAAGAACTGGCTTCATCCTGGTAACTGTACTGAACTTTCACATTTATCATGCTAACTGCAGCCTGTAGCTTCTGAGATGTAGCTCTTGGGTTTTTCATCATTACATGATCTGAACTTAAAGGGAATATGTAAAAATTTTCCAATCATCAGTCCAACAATCGCCAATGGGCGATTGTTAACGCAGCGTTAACGCAGCTTAAACGCGGTCATCACGATTAAAAAATTTTAACACTCTCAACCCATCTGGAGCGCAGAATGAACAAAATTTGGACAAACTGCCATTCCAGGGATTTTGACTCAGTCGTGTTAGTCGTGATGACAGCGTGTAAATGCTGACAGCACTAAAAAAATATAAAGTCGCCAATTTGGGATTTCTTTGGCTTTAAACCGGATGAAAGAGGTAAACCTAAGGATGTAACCAAAGTGGTGTGCCGCTTGTGTAGACGTATAGTGCGAGCAAAGTACTGAAACACGACTAACTTGCATGAGCATGCATGTGTCCACCATCCGGCTGAGTATGCTAGACTATCACCAGCTTCTGCAGCTCCATCAACAAGCATTTGGGCGCACTCTGAGGAGGGTGCACCTGCTCGCAGATGTAAGAGGGTGCTGTTAAAACAGCGCTAGTAATTTTTTTCTGTTGACTGCTTCAATTAGCTCCATCATTATTAGCAAACTTACTCATGGGCAAATAAATAAATAAATCGCCCTTGTAAAAACTATCGATGATAGATAGTTGATATAGTCGTCCAATCGCCCAACCCTAGTATGAAGCACATATAGCATAAAGCATGCATTACACCTGAGGTGGAAAACTAGTAAACAAATCACCGTTTTTCCTTTTCACATTAACTAAGGTACATTATGTGTACATACATGTGTTTTTTATACTACCTAAATTGGTAATGCATAAAATCCAAAACAAAGCAATGTCAAACATTTCATGTTGCATGTCAAATATTTACAATATTGATTAATAACTGGTAAAACACTTAACAGCTTTAGAAATCCTAACTGATAAGACAATCTGAATTAAAAAGCAGCGAGGCAGTGAATTCGTGAAACAAACCAGAAGGAAATTGAGTGTGTGTATTTGTGAGTGTGCATGTGGATTTATGCAAGTCTTTATGTCACATCCAGTTAGTGACAGTGAGATTTAAGGCATTCGGTCTGTCTGACAAAAGCTTTTGGAAGAGCTGCCCAGACTCTGCAATGAATCTTTAATAATGAAGCCTCCTGACAGCTGGAGTGAAAGAGGGAGGTAGAGAGGGAGGGACGGAAGGGGGGGCGGGGGGGGATGCTTGTAAGTGAGGTAGGAATCATAGGAGTAGGCAGCAAGGAGCAGCAATGAAACTGGATGCAGAACTGTCAGCTGTGTTTTAATTTAGACTGTTTGATTCTTCAGGAAAACAAAGAAAGTGATGAAGGTGGGGAGGGTGGGGGTGGGAGAGCATGGTGTGATGGGAGAAAGATCTGTGAAGGTAGACATCACAATTCAAAGCCAGTTTAATCTGTCTCGTGTATGAGAAATGAGGGGACTGATAAAAGCTAAAGTTTGTATGAGAGAAGAGATGGAGGAGAAAAAAGAGATGAAAGCAATAATTAAGGACTTTTGTCCTTATTTGATTATAAGAAGCTGCTCGCATTAGGCAGTGTAGTTTCAGAACCAGAATCTGTTTAACTGGAAAAACAAGTACACAGTGCACATACAAGGGAATTTGAGTCCAGTATATTTAGTGTTATATAATGCTTGTATATAAATTCTAGGAAAAGGTAAAGAAAGAATAAGAGTTTTCTGACACCAGAAAAAAAAATGGTGGGCAGACAAACTTTCATGACTAGGTTAAGTGAGTCAGAAAAGCCAGGACAAAAGAGTCGGTATCTGTTTAGAGTAGCTTGTTCTTCCCACACTGGCAACGCCGCACATACAGACACACTCACAGTAGGGGTGCGTCTGCATAATTCACACCGTCTCTTGCCAAAATGCGCCAAACGTTCCTTTAATGCTCTGCTCGCTCTCTGCACACAGACTCGGAGCCATAGCTGACACAGCGAGTAAGCAGACAGCGCCTGAGTCGCCGCCTCAGTGCCCCAGGGGGAACGGGCCAATCACGCCGCACGCAGTTCCTGGGTGGGATGAGACGGAATGGGATTATGCGATGCGGTTGCCGTGGTGATACTTTTGAGCCCAACCAAGCGCTCGTTGCCAGTGACCCGGACTAGAGCAGATGTCCCCCAAGATCAGACGACGAGGTGTGTGTGTGTGTGTGTGTGTGTGTGTGTGTGTGTGTGTGTGTGTGTGTGACTACACACACGTTTCTATTTGACTTCTTTGGCACCTCGCCCTAAATCTCTACGGCCCTCTGTCAACTCTTTGTCACCACTCTCCATTGCCTCAGGACCACACGCACAGACACACACACACACACACTGAACACCCACATGCTTCAACGATACAATGCATACACATGGTCCTGGCTGGCAATGCCATCAGTGCACAATATTCTATGCATACATGTATGACCTCTGTGATATGTATGCATGGTACAGAGTGCTGTGCTGTACATACAGGTTTTTAACAGCTCAGTAGACACAGTGAATCAGTCAAATTAAACCAGACTAAATGTCCAAGTGACTTGATCAGGTTGACTTGGGAGATGTCTCTGCTATGAATATGACATTAACATAACTTAAGGCACTGGATGGACCGCGGTGCATGACCTATATAAAGGCCTCTTCAACTTTGTCACAACAAAACCTGAAGTGAAAGAGAAGCCCTTCCTTAGTGGATTACAGCAGCTGCTGGAGCTGAGATGTAGTGACATCATATAAACAGAGGTAATATGCTGAAGTCTCCTTAATTCCTACTCATTTGAAAAATGGTTATGTTAACAAGAAAAATGGCAAAGATAAGATAAGATAAGATGACCTTTATTAGTCCCACAGGTGGAAAATTGGTTTCCCACCTGTGGGACTAAGATCGAAACAAAAGGTATCGATCTTTATCCTTTTTACGAAATGCTTTTTAACAAAGCATATGTAGCGTCACTTTGGGCTTATAGGAAAGTTTTGTGTTGACCTGAACAGAAGACTACTATCCTACACACTGCTATGGTCAACAAGATAGCCACCACTGCCCACAGAAACATTTCATGTATATTTCCATTGTCTAGATCAAACCAGAACAATTATCAGAGGCACTAAAACCTAGACGCCAATCTAGTGAGGTTTCTTAGTCAGAGCAAGAATGAAAGCCAGGAGTCTGTGATAATTTCTGCCTAAGTTCTGTGACTCAGACTTAAGAATCAAAGACCAATTCAAACTTTCTTCTCCTTGTGTGGTTCTGCAACAGTTCCAGTGTGTCTGCCATTGTTGGTTTGCTCCTTCCTATGAGCACATTGTGCATCTGCAAGGCCCACTGGACCTCATTCAGTCTTGCCAAATGGCAGCACTTCAATTTTAATTTTATTTTAGCCTTAGGATGTTTCAAGAAAACGTAGCATGGGCAATATGACCCCAAGGAAAGAACATAATATCATATATTTATCACATATCATATAT